ATTAAATCAAAAATAAACAAATATAATTAAATTTATATTAAAATATTTATCAAATTAACTTAAAATTTAACTACAATGAATTTTAAAATATATATATTTATTTTAAAATTCAATTAAATTCAATATATATAGAAATATTTTTTAAATTAAATTCAAAACCCAAACGAAAAAGAAAATACAAATTCTAACCCATAAAAAAAGACCCAAGAAAAACTAAACAATAATTTTAAGAAACCAACCAAAATCAAAATAAGAAAAAAAAATCAAACCCATAAAAATGGACCCAAGAAGCTAAACAAAAGACAAACCTAAATTTATTAATTTATTGTTGTATTATTTTTATAAAAAAAAATCACCACCAAAAAATCAAATCCATAAAGACCCAAAAGAAACTAAATAAATTCAAATCAAAAAAACATAGATATATTTTTAAAATATTTATCAATTTATTTTTTATCAATTTATCAATTATTTTCAAAAATTATGTTACATTTGATACAATATATATAACACTATTAATAACATACCTATATTTCTATAATCTATATCATTCCATTAATATAAAATCAATATTCATAATGCTAAATATGTGTCCCATTATAATTCCAAGTATTTCCTACACATAATAATTTCCCAAATACGTAAATTAAAAATAACATATTTATAGGATATATATGTATATATCCATCTACGGTTCCAACACTAAAATATAAAAATTAGTTTCCTTTAGGATCGGTTTCTTGTTTTTAAGGTTTCTTTGTATGTGTTTTTTGCTTTCATTTTTCTATTAAGAAATTCTCGGCTTTCCAAAGTAAAATTTAAAGGGCGTACCAATAACAATGTCGCAGAGCCAACGGGGTAAAAAAAAATTGGGGGCCAAACGTAGTAGACCTATTGTGAGCTACCCGAGGGTAAATATTAGAATAGGGAAACCAAACCCAAAGAAGACCGAAACAAGTGCCGCAAAGAAATCCTTATTATAGTTCCTCCGTGTTCCTCCTTCCACTTTCCTCTTCTCTTTACGTTCATCTCTCTCTCTCTCTTTCTTTTTCTTCTCGCGCTACATCATAGTTGATATATTTTTCGGGTGGTGCACAACAGGTTTGCAACATTAGAATGTGTCCTTCCTCTTCTAAATTTCACCCTAGAGTGGCTCACAAAAGGTCTGCTATTTTGGAATGGACGTTGCCTCCTCTAAACTCTATCGTTGGCTTTTCCAAAGCTACGCTACATTGGAATGCCTTCTTCCTTGTTTATATTTCAATTTCGAGTCGCTCAGAACATGTCTGCTACCTTGGGTTGCATGGCTCATAAAAGGTCTGCAACGTTGGTGTGGACCCTTCCTTCTCTAGAAATAAGTCTCGGGCGTTTCACAAAAGGCCTGCTGCATGGGAATGGCTCCTTCTTCTTTCTCGAATTTATACCCTGGGGTGGCTCACGAAGGGTGTGCTACGTTGGAACTGCGCCTCCTCCTCCAAATTTTGCCCTCGCATGACTCACAAAAGGTCTGCTATGGTGGGACAGCGCCTTCCTCCTCCCTCAGTGGCTTGCAAAAGGTCTTTACGATGCAACGGCACCTTCCTCCTCTAAATTTTACCACCCATTGGCTCACAAAAAATCTGCTACGTTGCAACGGCACCTTCTTCCTCTAAATTTTACACTGGGGTTGCCCGGTCTGCTACGTTGGCGCATACTTAACTTCTTGCTCTAAAATTGATCCTTGGCGGCTCATAGAAGGTGTGCTGCGCTGGAATGGAGCCACTTGCAGCAGCACAGGGTCTTTCCAGCAAGCAGCGTAGAATTAGAAGCTGGCCGCTTGCAGCAACACACGCTCGTTAGACCCTGGCCGCCGCAATCAGCGCAGTTTTGGAAGCTGGCCACTTGAAGCTGCACAGGTTCTCTACTGGAAGCAGAGCAGGAAACAAAGCTGAAGCAAAAGCAAGGACAAATGCAAAAGCAGAAGCAGGATCAAAAGCACAAGCAGAAGCAAAAGCCAAAGCAGGAGCAAAGGCAAAAGCAAAAGCAGAAACAAAAGCAGTAGCAGAAGCAGAAGCAAGAGCAGAAGCAAAAGCAGAAGCAAAAGCAACAGCAGAAGCGCAAGCAAAAGCACAAGCAAAAGCATATGTTCAAAAAACGACAAATCACAGAACAATGAAAAATCCAGCCGAAAGACTGGTTCCACACAGAATTGTCATCCTCCACGCCTTCTCTTTCCAATCAATGCAGACCCTGGAACTTTGAAGGTTTGACCACACTTCTTTGCGCTGCCTCTGCGCAAACCACCTCGTCCTCGACCCCGCCCGATTCCCAAGCTGGGCCTGGATCTGGGCCCCCACTCCACAGCAGGAGTGCTCCTGCCTGCGCTGCGTCGCTTTCTGGAGCAGCAGGGTCGGAAAGCACACTTGGAATAGTATGAATTGTGTGGTGCATACATCCTCACGACTCAATGCAGGGTCAAACCCAGATTGCCGCACAGCACAGTCTTCGGAATAAGTTCTTCGAAACCCAGGTCAGCTCGAAAAGTCCTGTTGCCACGATCTATCAGGAATAGTGTGGCTACCCAAAGTGGCTGCACGCCGCGCGAACTCAGCCAGAAGGAGGCCGTATTTTCGCTTCGATGGCATGAGAGCGTACGTGTGCTTCAAGAAGCGTAGTTTACGTCGCGCCCTTCCACGCCGTTGGCACCCTGTTCTTCAAAACAATACCTCTCCAGCTCAGTGGTTTACAGAAATATGTCTGCAGCCTGCAGCTGTCAAAAAGCTGTGTGAGGAACAATCGTCTGTCCACACCTCCGTTCCTGGCAACGCCGTGCGCTCATCAACACGCCGAAGCGTTTCAGGCTTTCGTTTTGCCACACGTCGCAAGAAAACTCTTCCTGGTTGTTGTCTTGCGGCATCTCGCGGCGACATTGAGTTCGACGCCCCCAAAACTATGCGCTGCGTCCCTTGACGCTTCTCGATTTCTTCCTCTGAGTCACCAAAATGTTTCGTCCAGTGCAACTGCAAAGCCTTCTCCACCATTGGAAATGATCAGCCGATGGCACAGGTAGCTCTTGAAGGTTGCGCGTGGGAATGTTCTATGACAGGACAAGAACAGCACCTTGACAAGCGCCCGCGGAGCTCAATTACTAATCGAGGAAGGAACTGTGCCATGGGACACAGAGCCCTCCAGGTTTTCTTTTCAGGCATTGGTTCTCTTTCGCTGCCAGTTTTTTAAGATCCCATGGCCTGCCAACCTTGGTGGGGTCGACAGGCCGGAAATTATGGGTCCAATTTTGCTGGCTCTTCTTCAACGTCGCCTCCTTCGACTTCTTTTTTGGGCTGCGCTGCTCGGCGCCGTCTGTGACCAATTGGGCCTGCTTTAGGATTTTAGGCGCAGGCAGCTGCCTAAACCACTGCAGAGAGTGGGCAAGCAACCACCCGTGCGCCTGCAATGTACGCCAGCCGGCTTGGTTGTGCGTTGGAACAAGTTCTGTGTACAAGTGACCTGGCCAGACAATTTCCTATTGCCGGTTCGTCGCCATCCTCAAAAACCCATAAGAGTTGATATCTGAGACCGCTGTTGCCGTTCTGCTAAGTCATGACCGGCTATGAGACTTGAAGACTGATTTGAACCAGGATCCACTGGCCTCAGAGTGGGCTTAGCAGGGGCAGTTTTGATCACACCTTGCTGTAGAGGTGCTTTGACAGGTTTCTCAAGGTTCTGGCTCCTAGCACACAAAAATAAACCAATCTGATCACTTGGGGACTAAAAAGAGCTCTTGACCGCCACAGATGCAACAAATGCTTCACACAGATTTGATCGCAGCACACCCAACTGCCTCCACAGTAAGCCGTGCGTGGAGCTTGCCTTTAAATAGGATCTCTGCCAAGCTTTCCAAAAAGCAAATGCCCTAAATCCAGAACTCTGGTGGCCCACTCTTGTAGTAAGCTTTTCTATTGATGTTTAACTTGGCGACGTTGGACTTGATGATGTTAAGAGTCGGTAGTGTTGAACGTGATGCGGTGATGTTGGTGATGTTGACGTTGGTGGTGTTGATGCCAAGAGTTGGATATGCAGAAGTTCATGTTGTTAAGACTTCGTGTTGATAAAGTTGCGGGCGTTGCCGAGATCAGCGAAAGCTAGCAGGTAGCACAGGGTACATCAGAGTGAAAAGTTGCGGGGCCGGTCCGGGCCGGTCCTACCAAAACGCTTTGTTTCGAGACCTAGAAATCCAAAAACCCTATGATTCGTTTTTGGAGACCCGGTTGCGGCACTGAAACGGAAAGGCTTTTCTATTTCGGGGCTGCTTTCAGTTCGTATCGTTTCCATTGGAAGAAATCGTGCGCGCAACGCTTGTTCTGGAGATTTCTGGCATGTGGGGAGCAACGCAATGTCACAATGTATGTAAGCGTGCGTGCGTAAGCGTTCTCCTATGTTTGTATTGCGTTCATAGAGCCCTATCTGGTCCTATCACGGCGCGCAACCTGTATGTCTGCTCCCCCGTGGTTTCTGGATTGTTCGATCAACATGTGGCGCAGGATGCGCTGTAGCAGCCTGAGCAATTGCTTTCAACCGCACATCATCGTCCGACACGGGCACCCACATCGGGAGGCAAAAGATATGAAACGGTTCCTTGAAAAGCGCCCCCAGCCCTTTGGAAAAGATTGTTCCCTTCGCCCAGTTCTACAGTATGGCCTTCAAACGCTTAGGCTTATTTGCCTATAAGTCACAACGCAGCAGTGTCCCAAGCAACAGTCCAAAAAAAATCCTCGAGCAGTGGCCCATAAGAGTTGCACGGCAGCATAAGACCACAAGAGTATCCTGAAAGAATCTTGCGCAAGTGTGCCAAGCAAGTGCAACCAAGAGTGCCCGCGTCGCTCACATGTCCTACAACGGCGCCACACACAGCCTGAAATTCTACAATATCGTCTTGCGGTTCACGGGCAATTCTGTTTGTCATGCTACTTAAACAAGATTTCAACACACACACACCCATATGCATATATTGTATATTTTTTCTTCTGTCACAATCAATTTGACAGTTCCGTTTTCAATCAATTTGCTTCAATGGCCGTGGCATCCTGGATCAATGAATGACTGGTGACATAATATTTTCAAGTCTGTCAGGTCTTAGTTGGATAGCTGCCTTGCCTCTTCTTGTTGAGGTTCATTGCAACTTTTGCCTCCGAGATTTTGAAATGTGAGACACTTTGTCATTTCCTGCACACCCGCTCCAGTCTCCATTGTTCCTTTCATCCCCGGTTGGCTAACAGGTGCCACATTGAACCCAACTAGCCTGTTTAGGCCCCATTCGCTTCCATTTCAGCACTTCCGCCCTCAGCACAAGAAGAACATCAAGCCAAAGACTCACAGCACAAATGTTGGAAGTTTGAGACAAACTTTCGAGTGATCCCCACCATGGTGTTATACACTGTTGAAAACCGACAGCTGTATATATTGCATCAACATCACCAACAAGGTGTCTATCTTGCATACGCACTAGCATAAATTTATATATTATATTCTTACGCATTCAATCCAGCTTACATTCTGGCTTTCTACCTGGCATATACTCAGGCATTCTATCCGACATAAATTCTGGCATTCTGTGTGGCATATGTATTGTTGCATCCTATCAGGCTTTTGTTCTGGCATTCGGCTCGAGGCTGGGTGTGTTGATTGTGACAAGAACCCCTTACAATATCAATATCCCAGGCTTAAAATGGAATACACAACCAAACCCCCTAACCAAAAACCTGCAGAGTCAATATCCTGACTGTTGACAAACATGTCAAAACTCAAAACAAAATCTATGTACCCAGGGCAGCGCCGAACACATTTCTTGAAAGTACCAGGCTTACAATATTGCACCCTCTGCACTTGAGGCGGCGGAGGTGGACGAAAGGGAGAGGTTGGAAGATTCTGAGCAGGAGCAAGCAGCCAGCAGCAGCAAACCAGCAAAGCAGCAGCAGCAGCAAAGCAAAAAGGTAGCGCCAGCACCAGCAGCAGCGAAAGAGCAGCAGCAGCAGCGGCGGCGGCGGCGGCAGCGGCAGCAGCGGCCGCGACAGCAAAGCAGCAGCTGCAGCACAGCAAAGCAGAAAGCAGCAGTAGCAGCAGCAGTGGCAGCAGCAGCAGCGGCTGCAACAGCAGCAGCAGCAGCAGCAAAGCACCAAAGCTCACACAAGTTTGGCCTCCACAACCCTTGGTTTTCGTTCAGTACCGGGGGGTTTGCGCAAACGACATTGAAAGAGGGTGGGGACTTGTCATGGTCGAGGGCAGAGAAAGAAAGCACCAACAGTGCCCGCGCCGAAAACCCCAACACAGGCAATGCACGAGCAGCAGCAGCAGCAGCAACAACAACAACAACAACAGAAGCAGCAGCAGCAACCAGCGGCAACGAGCAGCAGCAATAGCAGCAAGCAGCAACCAGCACCAGCGAGAGCAGCAAGCAACCAGCAACAAGCAGCACAGCAGCAAGCAGTACAGGAAGGAGCAAGCAGTACAGCAAGCGGCAAGCAGTACAGCAAGAAACAAGCAGCAGCAGCAGCAGCGGCACATTTAAAACAAACTTAAAACCATCGAATCAGGAGCCGGAGCCCCCCACCACCCCTAATATCATATTGCTAAAGCAAAGGTTGGCGTGTGGCAAGCCGCAATCGAGCCAGCACGCAATCTCTTGAGTGCGTGTGCCCCCTCCTGTTCCAAAGGAGACGGATCACATTGTTAACGTTTAATTCGACTAATGTAACTCGTACTCACCCATGTACAGTAGAGCAGGGGGCCCATGGACACTTGGATGGCATGGGCCAACGAAGACCCATCCAAGCTGTCGTGCACACGTACCTGCAGCCAACTTTCATAAGCCTTGCCGAATTTCAACTGTTGAACAGTGGACAGGCTGTGACCCTCCTTTTCTCGTAAAGCGCCACTGCAGTAACGGGCTAATGCGCTTGTTCGAACCACTGGTTTGCCAACCTTTCCCCTTGCCATTCCTGCGAGTCAAGTTGAGGGCAGGTGTCGCCCACTGTGATCCAGCCCTCACGGTTGAATTCCGGCGGTGCCCGCTGTGATCTAGCGCTCGTGGTCAAAACCCGGTGGCGCCCACTGCGATCTAGGGTTTTATTTTGAGCTCCGATGCCACTGTGACCCAGCACTCGCACTTGAGGAGGACGAGGAGGAGGAGGAGGAGCTCAGACAGGTCTGATAAAATCTAACCCTCACCTGGCAGGTGGATTTGAACAATTCAATGCAGTTCCCAGGGGCTTGGTCATCTTCTTTCGTGGTTTTGGCATACAGGTGGAGCGGATCATGAAGTGGATCGGCACACCACCTGAAGAACTCCCAAGAGATGCACAAGAGAATTTGGCTCTGCAGCTATCAATGGGCATGGCGATCATCCGCCCCTGTGTATTGGAGAATAGCCTGCAGCTTCCCTCACAGCAAACGGCAAACTAAGGCACAGCATCTGATCATCTGCTGAGTATATGAAGATATATTCTAAAAAGAGAAAGAGATGTGTGTATATATATAATATACACATATGAAGTACCACAGCTCTTCGGGTCGCTTACTTACACTGTTCGAGTGTCCGGCTGATGCGGAACTCATCGCGCATGCCATTCCGCATGTGTCGCAGGTAGTTCTCGGGGAAGTTCCCATATGTGGAGTTCGTCCAAAGCACGAAAGTGGGAGGCCGCGCCTCAAACCACTGATCCAAATTACTCAAAGCTTGAAATATGCAAAGCCCTCCAAAGAAAGTAAAACACACATTAAAAAGAAAAACAGGCCCGACCCAAAGATTCTAGGGACCAAACTCGGGTCTGTGTCATGTACTTGACATTGCACCTGCAACAGCATCTCACACCCACTTCTTTCATCTTCTATAATTTGTTTGGCTGCTTTCCTTAGCATGGACCTCCATAATGTTGGACGCTGATTAGTAATAGGGCCCTCTATATTGCTAACTGTTTGAAAAATAATTCTTGACACCCTGTTTGTCTTAAGGGTCCTCTATTATGCTAATTTTTGGGGGGATCCTAACTTTTTTGTTATCTCAAAAATATTTAGGGTTAAGCATATTTCCGTTAGAAAAAACGAAATAGTATCTAATTACTACTAAGCCAGTGGTTGGCTTGCTGAGAGTATTGATAAGATCTGATAAGTATAGGTTTCTCAAGTTCTTCTTCAAAACTCACAGTTTCCCAAAGCCACCAATTCCTTAATCAATCCTTTATATAGTATAGTATGAATCGATTGCAAAGAATACCTAATGACAAAGAACTTCAGAAAGGAAAATGAATACTGCAATAAATTACAAAAAGAATCCTCCTAGGAACCCAGGTTTGTTTTGGTGGTAGTTTATTATAAAGGATCCCCCATTTGTTTGAGGGAGGGGGGGTGCCTTTTACTAATCAAGATCCAACATTAATTACCAATATCAAGTAAGCTCTCATGTACATACACTCTAGCTGTGCTCGTTGGCCTGGGGGCCAGGGCGCCCACAGTGCTGCGCTGCAGGCCAGTCCAAAAATCAAAAGAAACAGTCCACATCATTCTTCCTCAAACGCTTCCAATTAGTCTGCGCTGCATCGTGGCAGAACGGTCATGAGGCCCCAGGCTTTTGACCGTCTTTCCACGGGGGTGGCCACCGTAGCATCCAAGCCTGACACGTAGGAATAGATGAGGGGCTGTCGAGGCACGCTTGGAGCAGGGGTGAGCAAGGGTGACAAAAGAACCGGTCGTACCCTGGAAGCTCCTCAGTTCAGCTGTGGCATGATGACAGGATTCGACGCCAATGGTGGAACCTTCAAGTTTGAGAACGGTAAGAGATCCCTTGTTCGAATTCACGAACTACCCGGCTGGCATGGTTCAATCCTTCAAGATCAACAAACTGCCAAGTGAGAATGGATGAGCTCCTTGAGAACCAAATGACCCCCATTGCGAGGCCACTTCATGGAGGCGATGAGGTGAAGCTCGTGAATATGATATGTAAGAATGTGATAGAATGTGAACAGTGGTGCCACACTACTAAATATTATCTGGCTCCGAAACCGCGTAGGCAAGGGTCCTCGTCTCATAACCATGCCCATGCCATGGAATGCACCTATGCCCGGCCTGCAGCCAGCTGTTCAACCTGAAACCGCAAGATAAGATTGGGCCAGCACAAAGCTGGTTCCGAAACACGCAAGTTTTGTTTCTCTCCATGCCATGCGCGAACACCACGAACATCAGCGATTCCATGGGTCGCACCCTGCAAAGAACGCCACACACAATCTTGACATAAGACATCTGCAGGCCACCCCAACCACCCATTTCAGCAGCAGCAGCGGCGGCGTCGTCGTCGTAGTAGTGGTGGTGATCCTCCTCGTCGTCGTCGTCGTCGCCGTAGCGTAGCAGCAGCAGCAGCAGCAGCAGCAGCAGCAGCATCAGTGGTAGTGGTAGTGGTAGTAGTTGTTGTTGTTGAAAGTAGCACTCGCAGTACTGGTCGTAATATTCCTTGTCCATATGGAGATGCATATATATATATATTATTTCAGCCAGTGGCCTCTATGTGTGTTGGGTATGTCCGTACATGTTGTCGTTGATGTTGGAGTTGATGTCCTGAATTTGCCCTTATGTACGTGTTGATGTTGGAGTTGATGTCCTGAATTTGCCCTTATGTAAGTGT